TGAATGTAACGATTTCCAAAATGATCTTTAAAATCCCACGATGTGGAACGAACCAAATCTCTCTGATAGAAACCTGATCCTAAAATAGCCAATGCCAGTTTCTCTCGTCTCCAAAGGAACATTTAATAATTGCGCGATGCTTGTCTAATCTTTGAACGAATATGGAGATATTTCAACGAAATACACCCTTGCCGACGCATAATGATAGGCAGCAGATAATCATGAAGATAGCTGCTTTCCAATTGGGATAGCCCTTTGATGTAGGCGTGACCACGTGGGAGGTGCGAGGTCCTCGACAACGTGACTGTGGCTTCCACACATTCATTTCATTACATACAGTTAGGGAACAGGCTTGCGGTCTAGTCCGTTCTCTTGGCCTAAAGATCGTATGTGTGTGTGTGTGTGCTCTTCGCGTGTTTCGTGGCCTTGATTAGTTTGATAGAGCGAATGGTTATTTAGAACTGATTGCAGATGAGAAGAACACTGCGACTTGCCCAGCAATTTGTTACCGCTATCGGTTGTGCTAATGGAAATGGTGGAAGGTGAGGTTTCTTAGGACTTCCATAATAAATTGATTTTATATAAGATATTTTGAAGCTGTTCTCCCCCTTATACTCCCTCGAACATTATTTTTATTTCTTTCGACCAGAACGCTGCATATAATCTCAGATGATGCTAAAGACAGGGTAGAGCTGCAGACATTGTGAAAAACATCTATTTTTGCTTATATTCATGCGTCATTGGAACGCGAAGGCGAAAGAAAACAAAGTTCGGCCGACCTTCAGCACGTGGGTGATGAGAAGAAGCTTATGCTCAGTGTAACAGCAAAAAAAAACAGCTTTTTTGTTTTTGTCTTACGAAATTCCGAATGATTTATGGTCTGCGCTTCTATCTTGTCAAGCGTACAAAATAATAGGTATAAATCTTCATTTACAGAAAAAACAGTTTCGAAATCTTGTAACACCATTGTTTTCGAATATGTCAATCGTGCACCTCACCCAACTTCCTTATTTACAGACATCTTGGCTGTGAACATGCTGTTAGAACGTTGCAAAATTCGAAGTTTCTCGAAAAAGTCCGAGTTCCAATCCATTGGAAAGAAGTTGTAGAGGAGACCACAAGCGGACGACATTTTGAAGCTCTTGCTGGGGTGACACAGGTAACTTTTTTAACGCATATATACTACTTTTTGTTCTAACTCAAGGTTACACATAAGTTGCTAAATAAAGGTGAAAAAGCGAGCTTTTTTACGAAATTATCT